TTTTTATATTTTTTTCATCACATTGTTTTTAATATATTTATTTAATATTTTTTTTTAATAAATATTTGTGAAATGTGCAATTGAGGGTTGACCTAAGAGGGTTGGCCTATCATATTTAATTACATTTTAAAATTGTGGTTAATTCACTGCAATTGTAGATTAAATGTATGGAGTTTCGAATCCAATCCAATAAAATCGTAGACATACTGTTAAAAATGTATTTAGAGTGAAATGTGTTGTTTTTAAGAATTTAGAATTCTTTATGCGATCACTTAATATTTTTTATAAATATTTCCCTTTCCAGAAAATATAAAATGCATTCATTGGCAGTCAGCTAGATATACTTCATTTGAAGGAAAATTTTTTTTAGCGATGAATCTCTTTCTTAAATGATTTCGTAAATAAAGCGAAATGCAAAACTGTAGAATTTGAAGTGAAGAAAATCCACATACTTTTTATGAAAGTCGTTTATATCCACAAAATTAATACTGGGGTGTAGTTTATATGTTGTTAGTGTTATTGGAACTTTGTTTTTTTAAAAGTATAAACAACATTGTAGTTGCCATCAAAAGAGGATGCTACAAGCTGATGTTTGTATCATGAATAAGATAGTTTATGGCTTTGTCCAGGCTTGTTTAAAACTGAGATAGAGCTTTCAGGTGCCCCATTCCGTTGGAAACTCGACGATACTTCCAATATTACTATTGGTTAGATATTTGTATTTATCAGAATAACGACTAATGTCGAAACGCATTGTTTTTCTTTAGCTAATTAAGGATGATTCGATCTTTCTCCCACTGGACCTACCTACCTATCTAAGATAGTTTTGATTTGATTGTAATAGTCATTTTAAAAAATTATACAAGCTATAATTTATTTAGTGTAAAAAGTAATTAGATAGTGTATAGATCCATAGAGCCTACTGGTGGTAAATAAGGCCATAGGGCCTACTAATGTGGTACAATAACTTTTGATTGATTGATGGGAGTTTTTGTGTTGCAATAAATTTTAAATATATTTTTGATTTACAATTTTTTTGATTTTGAGACTTAACATACTTAACATTCAATCAATTTTTTGTTAAATGAGTGAAGTTCTCAGTAATGTTTCTCAAATTAATTAAAATATATTAATCTGTGGAATTGAACTTGTAAAACCCGAAGTATACAATTTCAAATGAAGAGTGGTAGAAGAAAATTTTTCAACTTATATGGAGATATATATTTTAAGATATTATATTACTGTTAATTTTTCGATATAATCACCTCGTACTGCATCGTTGATTCAGTCATCAACGATGCAGTACATCAAGAGACAATTATATGAACCCAAAATATGTAATGTATCGACAAATGTTAAAGTTGAATTGTGGTTGGAGTAAGTATTTCTATGGGAATAAATATCCTAAGGTCATTTTAAACACACTTACAAATGTATACATCAATACATAATAATGCAAAATAGAGTGAAAATGGTGTGTATATTCATCCTTATGGAAATGGCTTCTATTTAGGAATTAAGTTGCTACTTACTTTGAGGTGAGTGAGGGAACCTTATTAAAAATTCAACAGAATTGTGTCTAAAAGCAAATACTATAATGTATTTCAAATGCTTGCTTTATTTTTATTCATCTTAGTATTTTGTTTGAATTGTTATGTTTTAATTTTTGTGTTTTTGTTTTTTGTATTTTTTTTGTTTTTTTTGTTTTTTTGTGTTTTTAGAACGCATTTGCCCAAAAGACATTTTAATTAAAAAGTTTTTCCATTAGGTGCGCACATGTGTTTTAATATTAATTGTAGAGCTTCAGGAACAGTGAAATTCAAGTAGAGCCCACCTTTGACTTTTTGCTGTTACAAAGTCTAAAAGAAAAAAGTGAAGAACGTGTCTCATTTTCTTTGTTTATTTAGGCCATGTTTTGTAGGAAGGATGTACGCATTTCACAAAAAAGGAGAAAGTAAAAGAAGTTAAGAAATTTACATAGTCAAACCTGTTACTTGACATAGAGTTACAAAAGGAAATGCATACTACTTTTTGGATGAGTTTCCTCTCACACCTTGTTCACATCCTAGCAACTTTTAACAGTGACTTTTTTGAACTATCAACAATTCAAATTAATTTATAAAAGAAAAATAAATTCTAACATTAACATTAGTTTTTCTATTTGACAATCTAATTAATTTCTATAATTCATAAATAGATACGTCGGTACCCATGTATTTGTTAAGATTTCAAATGAAATATAGAAACTTGTTTCTCATTGTATTCAGTGTTAAGCTCAATATTAAGATACGTAAGAGGAGCGGATATCCAGAGAGATCTGAGAGTCGATTCAGTCGAAAAATACATTAAAGATCGTGCTCTGAAACTGTTCAATATAATTGACAGTCATAATAGTCCAACTCTCAGCATCCTAAAAATACAGCGAAATTTGATAAACACAGGCAGATACAAAGACATCAGATCCATCATATTATAAAGCCCCGTATTCAGTTATTCTTAGTGTGACTTAAAACAGTCCACAGATAAAATAGAGTAAAGGTGCTGATTCATCAACTCAGACATCTGAATATCAATATCAATATTAATTAAGCTCAATAAAAGTTTTTATAATATAGGTATATTAAAAAATATATACCATAACTCATTAATGTCATTATTAAAATTTTTATAATACAATGGAAGAAGAGATTCTAATAGAAAAAAGTTGCAGTATCTCATTTTTCAATTTTCTTTAATCTTAGTCTGATAAAGTGATAAACAATGGTTCAGTCAAGGCGTAAATAAAGGTTTTGAAGATATCTCGGAGTTAATAGAGTAAATAGAGTTAATAGAGTAAAAGTGCTCAAGTACACCTCAACTAGCTTCAACATAAGAAAACTAAAATTAAATATCCCCTCTTTTCTTATGCAATTCTCAGCAGAATTAAGTTCTCAACAGAGAGATCTTAATCAGATGTCTTGCCCAGATATTTAATTCTATTTTTTTACTTTTTTAAACTTTTTTAAAATTTCTGCAAAAATCAACATGACCTTTAAGAAAAAATTTGTCAGTAAAAATCATAAATGAAATTAAAATTAGCTTAAAAAGAATCAAAAACAAACTTTTTCGGTGAGGAAAATATACTACTATATTATTTAATATTTTATATTATTTAATATATTATTTAAAAAAGCATATTTTATTAAAATAAAAAAAAAACCCTGTATTAACTATATTTATAAACTATATATAACTGCTATATACTATTAGTAATCGGTGAAAGTATAGGTAGATTGAAAAGATTTTCAAATTGTTAATTCGTTAAAGAAATAAGATGTATTCTCTTAGGAATTCAGTCTAGAACTATCCATCTGACTGCATGGGCTAAAGTATTGTCATTCAAGCAAAAAATTGATGACAGCATCAAAATAATGAAGAAATGACAGGAATATTTCCATTTCTAATAACAGCCAATAACACTTTATATCACGTTGGTATTTTCACAATATTTAAGCTTGTATTGAAATATCCTCCATCTTATAACATATGACATAGCGGTGTGTCTTTTAGTATATTTCAAATTAGTGCCGGGTTATTAGAATTTATCCTAGCAATTGTACTGCTGATAAACTTGCCATAAGAAGAATATTTAGTATCCCAACATCAGTCTTGATGTCACTTGATGAAAAATAACTGCCTTAATTGTGATCTGCCAATCAGTTCCAATGAATATTCTATGGTTCTGATAGTAACGTTCAACGTTAAAATATATACACCTATCTATAGTATAAAATTTAAATTTTATACTTTTATGTTTAAAACATAATTGACTATTTTGCATTCATTACATTTTTATTTTTGAATTGTGAATACTTTTAAGCTAGAAGATAAATTTATGTATATAAATTCAACACCTCGACTACCCAGTCGACTACCCGACTACCCAGTCATTGTCGTATCCTCAGTTTTTCAATATATTTTTGAGTAACTCGAATTGATTTTTTTTTTAGATTTAAGGCATAATATGTACTTATTTTAAGATAACTTAAAAAAAAGAAGAAATATTTATCTGTTTATCTATACCATATATGTGTGCTTGAAAGATAGTTATGTTTTCACATAGCACCATTGAATAAATCAACCCAAGTACATAAACACCTGCTCCTGCTTCTACTTTAGTAAGGGAACTGTTCCCATACAAAGCTAGCATTTTCTGACGTATCTTTTAGGTTTTACTTATACTATCCTAATCCAGTGTTATGAGTTGTTGTTATCTTATATATTATAATATGTTATATATTATAATTAATTAATATTATTTTAATTATATTATTATTAAATTGTTATACTCTTTTATGTTACAGAGGTCCTTTAAATTAAAAATAACGATATTTGGAAATTCTAGTGAAAACCCGTTTAACAGAACATGAGCTCATTTATGCCTGAAGAATTAGGCCCACAGATATACAATAGAAAAGTTTGAAATTAATTTAAAAACTTGCTTAAGGATATCCTTAATTTGGATCGGAGAACCACCGTATTGTTTTGATAAAACGGGCCAAATTCTTTGATGCTTACTTTGGAGATATAGAATAAGCATTTGAAGAAGGAAAAATTGTGATTCTCGAACATACTTTGGCGTGTATTGGGCAATAACATAATGTATAAGCAACGTTTCTTTCTTTCTACTTTGTGCCAGATCTATGGTGGACTGTAATAATTTTAAATAAAATATTTTCTTATTGCGTTGGAATAAAATTAAGTAATTTTTGTTTATTAAAAAAAAATCAAAGCAAAATTTAAATTTACTAACTTAACTTCATAAATTGAATAGCTTTAATTAAAAGAAATTTTAATTAAAAGTAATCTAATATTTCCATTTTAATTGAATTTTATTGAAATGAACTGCTTTTCTATAAGCAACGAAGAGACATGAAACTTTCCCATCAATCATAACCAAAAGTTTAAATAATTTATAGTTCAGAAATAATTAGACAACGAATTTTCAGTTTTGAACGTACCTGTAAGTCTTCTTTGGCATCATTTGTGCTATCGCTGCTACCACCCCCGACTCCTGCGCCAATACTGCCACTTAGCGATAATTTACGTTTGCGTTCACGCTCTAGTCTCATTAGAATTTGTGCATTCTGTTCGCATGTGTATGTGTGACCTTTGTGTCGGCGCTCCAAGCTATACTGATACAATGGTCGCGTGGGATCCGGATTAATTTCGGTATCTGCACCAGCATCACAACTGCACAATGATTGATTGCTGCGTCCTTTGCTGCGCCTAAGTGAGCCACGATTTTGTGCTATTCGCTGCTCATTGACGCAATTGGAAAAAGTTACATTGTTTTGTGAGCGCTGCATTGGCATGGCGTGTTGTTGGGCCAGGCTACTATTGGAGCTACCGCAATGTCCTGCTGTAGCTGCTAATGGATTAGTTGCTACGCCTGTACAACTTCCAGAACGCAAAAGCTGCATTGCCGTGTCTGAATAATGTGAAGATATTTCATATTGTTCAAAACTAAGATCGTGTGCGCCTCCAGCTGCTCTAGCGCCATATGCTGCAGACGGTGTAATAGCCGGATAACTGGGCGCTATTGTAGCCGCAGTTGGACTAAATGATCTTAGTCGTTCACAGGCGCGTATACCACTTCGTAATGGAGTTGGTGTGGTTGCAGATAGGCTGCCTTTTCTTTTCGTTGGCGATACATAATAAATTTCGCGTTCATCGAACTGAACTTCAGCAGCCGACGTATTGCCATTGCAATTTCGTCCAATTGTGGTGGCTGTAGCTGTTGTTGCGGTGCTACTGGCAGTGCTGCCACCACTGGTGCTGCCCATATTTGTGTGATCTGACAGTGATTGTAGCAGTGGATTGCGTGCTGTGCCGTTTGTTAGCGTTTGTGCTGCAGGCTCGTTAGCAGCGGGATATGTTTTACCATCTTGAGTTGCGTTATACCCGGTGAAATAACTGTCGCGATAATTTTGTGATTGATGTATGCGAGCTTCAAAGGCGCGACGTAATTCTGTCATTTTTGTAACGATATATTCTTCGCTATGTACTTAATATGCTTAATGCTTTAATATTGCATATGGAAATATTTTTTTGCTTTATGAGACGTTGTTACACTTTTGGGTGTCACTTAGAGGATTTGAACTCTGTTTCTACTGATAACGCACGTCATCGTATCTGCTTCATAACTGCCTCGTTTTGTGCACATTGCAAGGTGAATGCATTCAGGGTGACACGCAGCTCATGAAAAATGCATGCAGCAAGCTGTCAGCAATTGCAGCAAACTCTTCGGTTAGAGTTTGTGCTTAGTTCTATATATATTTTTTTCTACTTAAGCTTTTGCTGCTCCTGCTGCTATGTCAATGCTGTTGGTAGTGCACTTTGCATTTAAATTTGTTTTAACATAATCAGTGGGAACGCACTGATTTTGATATGCCACTCCTGCTGGTACTATATGGCTCTATGGCTCTATGGCTCTATGACTCTATGGTTGTATGGCGTAAGTTTGCAGCTGTTTAATTTCTTTGGTTGCAGTTTCTAGTTGATGTTGTCTCAACGCCCACTTAGAAATTAATTTTAGACGTACATTGGGTTGGATTTATTTTTGCATTGCATTTGAATTTTCCCTCCTCGCTACACTTAACATCACGTTTATTTTATTTTATTTTTTTTCTTTCTATTTTTATATATAAGTTCAAAAGTTACTTAGCACACATAAATGCAATCAAGCGCCATCTGTCGTTCTCGCTGATGTCTTCAACTATTTCTTGACTTTAAACTTGCTAACAGCTTTCTTGTGGCACTTCAGAAATTCGTTTAAATGCTGCAGTTTAATATATGGGATTTCGTCCCATCCGGGCGTGCTTGACGCTGCGATAAATGAAGCAAATGCCGTGCACAAACGGAAGTCTGCGGAATGATTAAATGATTATTTACTGTGGCAAGCTAGGTTCTGCTTTACTATTCATGTGGAACTATATCCATAGTAGTAACACGTCATACTTGAAGTATTGATGGTTAACTTCTGCAAAGATAAAACACAAAGCAATTAAGTTTAATATTATTTTATTGATTAATTAAACCTCAAAGCAGGTTTTGTATACATTTATTTATTTATTTATATTCATATTATTATTATTAAATAATTTAAAAAGTAAAATTTTATTTTTTATATAACTTGTATATTCATGGAGAGAACCTATGCAATGCTCATCAATTTAATATATAAGATGACGTGTGTTTATGTGTCAAGAGCTGATATTGGATCTAAAGTACATAAAAATTAAACAAAGCGAGTATTTTCACCCGTTTGCTGCTTGAAAAGTTATTGAATGGTTAAAATAGTTAATATATTTTAAAAATTGTAATTCTTCTATCTATATTAAGTTATACTCCAGTATATATATCACTTCCATATGTCAACTCTGTACCTGATTTATAAAGTGGTCATACTAGATATAAAGTTCGTTATGTTAGTCCGACATATAAATTCTAATTGTGGCCTTGACAACTGTGTTTAGAAGTCGAGATTTCGACTTTATATTTTTTCTCTCTTGTCTAATTATCTGTAGAAAATAATCATATGCTTGTTTTCTTGATAGGAAGTGAAAAATTTTATTTCTGCAACGAATTTCTCAAGTATTTATTATAAATAATCCATTTATTGGTGGACCACATTTATCTTGTTATTACTTAGAACGTTAGAACTTGAAGTTAAGAATAAAAAAATTCTCATTTGTTCCGGTGACATTCCTATCGTAGTTGGTGAGAGGACGATGAAAATACCTTACAACTGCTTTATTACTGAACAGCATATATGTAGAGCTGCGCACTTCTAGTAAAGGTTTTTCATTTGTTGAATCTTGAGCAGCCGCAGGACTTCTTTCTAAAGAGCATTTTAAGGTTTGCCAAAGTTACAAACTGATTCGTCAAACTCTTAGTTTTTATACGGCAACACCATATGCCCAAATAAAACCTTAGGATCGGCGGTATAACCTGATCTAACCTAACTTAGATTGTCTCAAAATGCATATTAGATTTGAATTTCTCATTTCCAATATTATAATTTGAGCTAATGACGAATTGTCTTAATACAACGTATTACTGTGGAAGTCTTAGAGGAAATCTTAGACCGAAAGCATTATTAGACCAATTTTTATCCAAAATACTGCTAGTTAAGCAATTAAATACTGGAATTATTGCATGCCTGATTTTTAGAGTAGAGTAGGTACCTGCCATCATGATCAGAGTAGGGCGTCTACATAATGCTACTTAATACTCTTGGAATATTGTTTTCTAGGTAGAGAACTTAACATATGTGATGGACGAACCACAAAACTCATATAACATGGATTCATCCGTACATTATTGAAACTAAAATTAATCATGATCAGAGTAGGGCGTCTACATAATGCTACTTAATACTCTTGGAATATTGTTTTCTAGGTAGAGAACTTAACATATGTGATGGACGAACCACAAAACTCATCTAACATGGATTCATCCGTACATTATTGAAACTAAAATTAATTGGAAAAAGACTGTTTCGGTTGATAATAACTATACGACAATATAAACAGAAGCGGTCGAAAGTCATACCTTTAACTAAACGCGTGATACATTGGATGAAAATTCGGTCACTGAATATAATATAAAATGCTGTATTTAAATTAAGAAAGTGAAATCTATGACTATTTACAAACCTGAGTAGTTCATTGGTGATGTATACAGATCATAATCTTTACAATATTATAAGAATTGCGGAGACATAATTATAGTTAGTAATATTTATAATTTTAAACTTGGAATAATTCAGAATTCTGGTAAAATTAGTGAAGGAACCGCATAGGAAGTGAAGCGATATAGCGCTGAAGTGCAAAATAGGAACAATAGTTATCCAATGAAATTAATGCACGTGATGTCTTAAAAGATAGTTTTGTTATGGAAATAGCAATAATGTCACTGAAACAGTGCTGTTAGATTGGGATAGCAGAATAGTTAACCCACTTGCATACTTGCTTAACTCATCTGTAAAAATTTATAAATCTTCACTGTGATAATTAAATTGTATGTAGGGAACAAAGTTAATTCTATTTTTTATTTGAAACTCAGAATATTTTTGATTCATATAAGAGTTCGTTATGGAAACAGATACTAAATGATAATCAAAAAAATAGCTTTATATTCAATTTAGAGTATTTCTTTGTTTATTAAGAAAAACAACGATAAATTGCTAAAGTATTTAAGTAGAACCGATAGCTATCTGATGAAATCAATACACGTGATGCCTTGAATGATTATTCTTTTTAATATATGTCACCGAAATATTGCTGCTAAATCGAGATCACGAAATTGTAAATTGTATAGAAATTCATTCCAGATTAGTACATCAGTATAGATCATAATCTATATGGTTTCTATTAATATGGTATTAAAGTTATTTACATATTTATACTATAATATAATATATTAATTATATTTTTATATTATATTATTATAAATATATTTAATTTTTTTTATTTAATTTTTTAGTTAAGCACGGCTTTGGATCAGTTGGTTAAGGTGCGTTGCCTCTGAGCTTCAAATTTGGTAGGGCACGAGTTTCATCTTTGGTACTTGATCAAATTGATACACATGATACTTTGAATGACAATTTTATGTCACCTAAATATTATTGTTAAATCAAGATTATGTTAAGCTTTTATTAATCCAATAAATACAACAACAAAAAGATTTCGTTAATTTATTTAAAATTTCTTTAATTTGTTTGGAAATAAAGCGATAAAACACTGAAATCTCAAAGAGCGAGTAGTAGCTACCCAACCAAATCGATAAATTTAAGCTAATTTTTGACTTAATAAGCTAATAAAAAGTTTTTATTGAATATATGTTTATGAATCGATTAGATCAAATTTTTGTATTTGAGATACTTTGAAATAACAATATATCCAATTAGGCTTATAAATGTCATAAGTTGTTTGAAATGAGTTTCATGCCACAGTGTGATATATAAATTGCATGCTGTTCTATATCTGCTCCTGCAGTTCCAATCTGTCATTTATTGTTTAATGAATAAAAATATACATACGACGAGTATATGAAGGGCGCCAATACTGTTCATTCAAAATTCTTATACGACCTTTGTTATCATTTCCTATGTTGACACGTGTTAAGCCCCACTAAAGCTTTGTTTGCGCGTATTCAAGCTCTACGAAAATACATAATTCAAATTATATATTAAATTATTTTAAAAACATATGCCTACATGTCCCACAGTTACACAGTTATGGGGTTATCAGGAACCATGTGAGACTTTTGAATTCCATGCAGAGTCGCTGAGCAGTATTTGATAGAAGATTTTGTTGTCAATAAGGATACATGCCGTTACATATACAAAAAAAAAAAAAAAATAAAATAACACAAACAAAATAACTGCATGAATACATAAAAGTAACAAAAAACAAGAAAGGAACGAGCCAACAAAATTTGTTGAAAAATACTAGAAATGATTTTAGATACGCGCCATACAAAATTACCCACAACCGGAATTACTTCTTTGGCTGCTCATAAATTAGGCGCAATCTATTTTGGCATTGAGGGTTCACTTTTCTCATTTTCCTGCCATATTATGTTTTTTTTTTTGGTTTTTTTTTGCAATTTTATTTTATTTGTTTGGTTTCCATATTTCTGTTCTTTATTTTGTTATGCACAAAAGCCTTCGTTACATCCTGCCATCATTTATTTTGCACAATTTGTGGTTGTTTTGACATTGGCACGTGAAGTATGGAATTTACTTACTCCTAACGGTTGTCGGTCCTCGGTTCTCGGTTCTCGGTCCTCAGTTCTTGGTCGTCCCGACTAACTGCAGCTCAGCCTTCTAATCTCATACCCGGTTTCCTATTCGTTACGCCATTCTTATATTCTTATTTTATTTACCTCCTTTTTTCCTTTATTTTGGTGCTTTTAGTGAATATTTTTTTAATTTGGCGAGTGTATAAAATTTAAGGTAGTGATGTGGGATTTTGTGCGACATCTACTCGCAGCTTCTGATGTATCTCAAGTAAGACAAATCAAACAAACATTTTAATAACAAAAACACGTAAGGCAGAACATGTTGGAAAAATGATTAATAATGTATGTATTCAAATGTTCAGATACTCATATGTCCATACATGGCTGTGAGTTACTCAATATATAAAGAAGCACATACACGTACAAATTTTAGTTACTCTTGTTGTTATACACTCATAAAATGATGTTCACTACGTAAACAATATAATTTAAAAAAATTATATACTCGTATACCTCTGACATTAGGTGATATTAGGTGATACTAAATGTATTTGATAGGTCAGCTGGAATCACTTATGTTAGTTTTCAACAAATTTTGAACTTAGAGGTATCTACACCTACTTACGTGAGTGTCAACTGCATTTACCAATTATAAAGAATTATTCAATATTACCAAATTTTGGATAATTTGGAATAGTTGGACAGAGAGATAACACTTCATAAGAAATAGAAATAAATCTAACTAGAGGCAAGAATTTTTCAATATGTTTGTTTTTTATGAATAAAATATATAAATGATATGATATGTGATAAATTTTTGTGATACCTTAATTGATTTCTACTAACAATGCAAAACTTAATAGCATCCGTCAATATCTTAACTGTAAACGAACAAAAACTCTTCTAGAATTTTTACAGAACTTTCTGATACATAAAAGCTCTTTCACATGGAATGGAAGGAGTCAATGGAAACGATCAAAACTTGTTGTAATTAATATAAATTGATTTAGTTTCAGTCAGA